AAGATATTTGTATGCCGTCCTTTGCAAGAGCCTCAGGACGGCTTACACAAATAAAATTCTGAAGTGCATAAACAATATAATATAACTAAATAGACTATCTGCTCTGGCTGCAAATTAAAGTACGGTAATAAAATTAAATATTAAAATGTATTAAAATATTGATTAAATAAAAAGGTCTTAACCTGGCGCTGAAAAACATATAATGTAGGCAGATCTCTCTGGGGGGCGCATTCCATAGACAGGGCACCACCGCAGAGAAGGCCCTCCTCCAGGTACTCTGTCTCCTGATATCTTTCACAGAGGGTTCCCAGAGGAGGGCTTCTGCTGCCTATCTCAGGGGGTGGGAGGGCAAATAGGGAAGAAGGCATTCCTTTAGGTATCCTGGTCCCAAGCCAGGACCAGTATAGTAATGCATAGTATTTAGGAGTGGCTTGATTCTGAATGAGCAAGCATGGCCTATTAGCATTGCAAAACAGAGGCTCATAGCATATGAAATGGTTTGATATAGATCAACAAAGCTGTTTGACTTTTGGGACTCTCCTGGGGAGCGGGGGACTATCATGATGAGCGCCTGCACTTCAAAATTAACTACCACACCACTGTCCCCACCACATCATGGACATGAGATCAGAAACAGGGCCAGGAGCCCCGCTGCCCTTTCTATGCATGCAAAATCCTTGCCACACATGTAGAGAGGGTTGCTCACTTTCCATCATGAAAGCCCAATAGCAGATCTCCCTCTGGACCTGGACAGTTACATTCCACTACTTCATGAGCAATCCCACCTTAGCAACAAAGACTGAGAATGTAAAGCAAAGGCAAGGATAATCACAATATGATGGAGGACTTTAATGAACTTACAAACTATCAAGGAAAGAGGGAACAACAACAAGAATTTTCATTAGGCAGCAGCAATCTTGTGACAAAAGTAATGTGTCCATCACTGGTTATTCCTAAGCCATGAATTTTCTTTCCACCTCAGACACGGGGAAAAAATAGAATATTTATTTTTTAACCAAAACAACCAAAATTATATTATGACAAACTATATGGTACCAGAGGCAGAAAAGTCTTCTACTGTATCATGGCTTAATGTCAGTGGCAAAACTAACTTTTATTTTGAAGGATGTAGATGCTCTTCCAGGAGCATCTTCCTTAACAGAGTACCCAAAATTTGGCTGGTGGGGGAAACAAAGATAACATTTGTTACAGCTTTCCTTTTTTTCCCCCTGTGATTCAGTGTAGGTCTTTATTATCGCTGATTATTTTTAAAAGCTTGCCATCTCTGTTGCCTCGCCTCCTCCACTCCACTCATTGCTGAATAGACGGTGCACTGATCTTTTTATTGGTTGGTAATGGATTTGGTTTGATTGCTTGACACTAGAACAATAGAAGGATAAACAATTCCATTTGTGGCTATGAAATTCCCCATCTGTTTAGCGTGTTTGTGTTCGGGACAAACTGGATGGAGACAGATGAACAAACCAGCCGAGTCTGATGTTAATGGTATCAGTCATACAAAAGCAGAATATGTGGCACAATAAATCAAAAACTAATTGAACTTTGGGCTGATTGCATTGATTACTCCTGAACATTTAAAATACTCCAATGTTTTCCTAGGCCAACAGCTTTTCTACCCCCCTACCATAATAGATTTGGAGTTAGGAAACAGTTTGCACGCTGTCCTCGGAAGATCAAGTGATGCAAATATTCTACCAATTTTTATTTTGTGTTGTTTGAACTTGTTTGTATTGTAGAAATCTGTATTTAATTGAACATCGATATTCTCCCTTAAATGTTCTAGTGCATTACAACAGTTCAGCATTTATATTTTCATGGCATCAACCACCAGGGAATATTAATACCTGCCCAGAATGTTGTCCCTTTATGTGCATTTCATATGACTTCAGATGAAAAAGTGCTTTGGCATATGCACTTATTTCACAACTTTTCAGTCACTATTTTGTAAAGATCCTTCTCCAAAAAGAGAAATAGCTTATAACAACTTTAAATTTCTGATGTACTCATCACTGTGTTATTTTGAAAATGCAAAATCCACCCACTTAGAGTTCATTCATTGGTAAGGACATATGATATTTATGCCCTTGAAAATTCACTGGGGGATGGGGAGCACTACAGTAGATTCAGTGGGTCTTACTCCTGAGTAAGTAGGTATAGATTTGCAGCAGGTATCTGTTGGTTTTAACAGGAGCTCAACACCTCAGCAAACTAGGCCACCTATTAAAAGAGCTAACTGTAGATTTGAGTGCTTAAAGCCAAGAGTCTATATTTGAAAATGTTGATCTCAGTGCTACAAGGACTGAGGCATTATCTCACTGACTTGTAAAACAAGATGCCTTTTTAAGTAGTGTATGCTTTTATCAAAACATGCATTCACTATTGGGCTTTCTTTTATTTTTAAGGAATGCTTCTATTTACTTATTTTAATGAAAATGTATTTACAGTGTAGAAAAAAATCTATAGAAAAAGGCACAGTGCAATTACTTCAATAACCTCTCATTTCATAATTCCCCATGTATACACAACTAGTCAGCATTCCTTCAGTTTGCTGCTTATTATTCTTGGGAATGTCTGCAAGTTGTGTGCTGATAAGAGAGGCTAGGCAAATAAAATATCACTAGTGTGGCAGTGGTTTTAAGGAATAGCAAAACCAAGCCCCCAGCGTGAGCAGAATTCATACAAAGGCAGATGGCAGTAGAAAATGTTGCAATGAAGAATATGGAATGAGATGAGATCACAGCATCAGTCTGTCCTTTGTGGACCTGGACAATGATCACAGAGCCAGATGGGATTAGTGAAACCTATTTACCAGAAGTTCAGAGCAGTTGCATGAAGCCGTTAGGCAGCCAGGAGAGAGAGGTGAAAAAATGCACCAGATTTACAGCTGCAGTGATGAAAATCTAGAAGTCTTCACTGTGATTTCTTCCAAATGTGAGTAACCAGTCACCCAAAGCTATTGCCAAGACTGTTGGTTTTATTGAAATAGCATGTGAGGAAAAGGCTTTCAAAATGATAAATTCAGATGCATACTCTCTGTATTGCAGTTGCTGTGTTGTGATCTCTGATTCCCCGGCCTCCCTGAGAGATGCAAGGAAATACCTAGATACACTAGCTAGTGACATATTTGCACAATAAAAAAGAGTGTGCAGTCAGCGTACCTAATTCTATGGGGCTTTGTTGCTAGACTTCTGATGTAGCCATTCAAAGGACAGAATGTAACAGTAGATATGAAAATGAGACCTTGAAGTTAGATGTAGAAAACAGCTCTGTTCAGTTGTAGCCCATTGGATCAAAGCAGAGACTATTTTCAAATTCATGCTCTTTCTGAAACTGATGGTATATTTAACTATTTAACTCAAACAGCAAAAGTCAGACAAATGGACTACAATAATGTTTGTTTCCTTATCCCAAAAAGAAAACTCTTGGTGGAGGAAAGTGCCTTCTAGTATTTATACCAAACTTTGTGGTGTTATTCAGATATATTAATGATTATTAATAAACATTTATGATGATGCTGATTTTAATGCTGGTAAAATTATTGATGGAAGAATATGGTTGTCATCCCTGTTGTTCTCTCCTACATATATACCCACACCCATAAATCCTTATCAAAACCTATATCCTTTTTTAATTTCTTAAAATCCCACAGTCATTTGCATCCATTTGCACTATTCTTTCACTGTTGATGAGATATACCAGCAGCCCAAGCCAAGGAGAAGGCCTGCCAGCCTAAGCTGTAGCTCACAGCTGCACCAAATGACATCCCAAATCAATTGTTCAGATTTAAAATAAAGCTGTACCTTTTCACACAGCAGGTCATTTCTCCCCACCTAAGTCTGGGTGAAGGAGCCTGACTTGTTACAAGACAAAATTAAAAACACAGTTAGGAAGGTATGTTTTATTCTTTTTGTACCCGAGGCTTTGATCCATCAAAAGATGAACTCCATTTTCTAGGCCCAAGGCAGAAAATTAGTCTTTATTTAGGACTGCAATGTTTTAGGCTAGTATGCTTTTAAGAATGACTTATGATGTAGAAATTCAATGTGAGCCTTTTCTTGGCATAAAGATACAGTCTCAGGAAAAGCTCACTGCAGTGGTGTTTCTGTCACACAACGGACACAAAGGTGAAGAAAGAAGCAAAGGTGGCAACTCTTATGTTATCTGGAATGCAGGATTTTAAAGTCAATTTTTAATGGGCAATAGTTGGTGGACTTAGGGGTGTTAGATGCAGCAAGCTGAGACAGAAGGCCTACTTGAGAGGGATCATTCACAAACCTGACTTTGCTAGGGATGTCCTGGGACCCAAGTTTCAGTACCAGCATCTTTTCCAGTACAAAGAATCAGCTTGCAAGGCCAGCCCCACCCCTCAGGTAGGCATAGTGAAGTGACTGCCTGATGCTGGGTGGGTCAGAGAGTGGTGATGAGCTGATGGTGGAGAGAGCAGGCTGTGCCACATAGTCTGCCCAGAGTCCCTCCAAACAGGCCTGCTGCCTCAGGAGCAGCGAGAATAATAATAGCCCATCACTCATGTTGATGGAAGAGTCCATTGCCAGTCTGGCCACTTTCCATTCAGGGCATTCTGGGAGGCGAGTCCACATGTTTTGCCTCATCAAGCATAATGTGATGAGATAGCCTATAATGATGATGACCAAATCATCATCATTCTCCACCAGCTACACCTCCTGAAATGCCTCTTCTGCCAAAAGCACAGAGGCTCAGGTTTGAACTCCAGCAGCTCTGGAGTATCTCTTGGTGCAGCACTGTTTCGTGCATCGCATCACGCTGTGGATGTACAGCAAATGACAAATCACAACAATGCTAGATTGATGGGTCCCCCTGGCCTCATCCATTTTACTGCAGCTTTGAGAAGCCACATGGCTTGAATGTATAATGTCCCATGTCAAATCTGTTGTATCTATATTTGGGTTATTAGGAAATAGTGCCAGGTTAGTCCTTTTGCCTGAGAACCTGTAGAGACAGGGATAAGAACATAAGACAAGCCCTGCTGGATGAGAGCAAAGGCCTGTATATTCTGTTCATATAGTGGCCAACCAGATGGCCTTGGAAGCCCATAAGCAGGACATGAAAGCAATACTACCCTCCCATTCATCTTCCCCACCAAGTGGCATATTAGGCATACTGCCTCTGATACTGGACATAAGATATAGCCATCATGACAAGTAGCCACTGATGCCCATATCCTCCATGAATTGTTCTGATTTTGGCAGATAATTAGCAGAAATTTATCCTTCCTAGCTGCCAGCTAGCCAAAGGATGAGGTTACCATAAAGCCCACTTCCCCTGCTGCAAAGGTGTGTTTACTGTTTTTGTTGTTAACATGCATGAATTGTTTTTAAAGTTTTACTGTTATTTCTTTTTAATGTTTTTAAAGTTTTTAAAATTAATGTTATTGTAATTTCAAAAACAATCAAAACAAAAAAACCCAGAAATACAGTGTTACAGTTTTTACATGAAATGTAAGTGTATCTATTACAATGATTATGTACATACCCATATATATTTTGTATAGCAAAATATGCTGCTATTCTTAGAAACACATGCACAGATTTCAGCAAAGGCAGCCCAGATATTTGTCTGTTTATAGTTATGCTTAAAGACCATCCCTTTCAAAAATTAAAACCTAAAAGACTTTTATTACAACATTGGAAGGACTAACAATCACCTTTAATAACACAGTGTGTGCAAAGTTAAATACATCAGTAGGTACTTGCATCACCATGAAGGTGAGTCCTTGAGAAGGGCACTTTCAATATTCAGAGCATTTGTCTGCTTTATTAAAACAAATGTTGCCACCACTAATTATGGAGTTTGACATACCATGAGCCTTATTCAGCAATAAATAAATAAATAAACCTGTTCTTTATGTCCTTGTTCCAAAGCATGCAGGATGGGGGGGTGTGGCAATCTGTCTGGAACACATGTCCATGAACAACTGTTCTTTTAAAGTCTGATTTGAGAAGATCTTGCCTCTGTTAGAATTGTTCATGCAGTTCCTTTCTTTCCTCTTGGGTCACTTTCTCTGGATGCAAACACACCACAATTCTGTCAGCCGGATTACAATGGGCAAGCTAAAAAATATGCCAGATGCATATTTATAAGGCACATGTTATCTAATCTGGAACAGCATTAATGGAATTAAACTTGCATTAGGCAAAATAAGAAAGATGTAAAATATATTTTCTCTGCTTTTGATGACCAGTAAACTACATAACTTTGGATGCTATTACATATGCCTCTAATTTTCCCATTTTTTAAAATGTTCCTCTTCTATGACTCTAAATGGGCTGAAGCATCACTTGCACAGTATTTTTTTTCTTAATTTCTGTATAATCTTTGTTTTTGCTTCCAGAACTGTTTGGGATTATTTTTTTGAATGGTTAGATCTTTTAACTGAAAATTATCTTAATTCTTGGAAATGTGTACTATGCTCCACATGAAAAAGGAGATAGAGTATAAATAGGACCTAATAGAAACTACTGATGTTATAAGGCCAAACAAATGTCATCAAATGCTTAAAAGCAGAAGTTTTAACCTGAGCTTGAAAGATAACAGTGTTGGCACCAAGTGGACCTCAATGGGACATGGGAGCTACCATCAAGAAAACCCTCTCCCCTGTTGCGGTCTTCCAATCCTTCCTCAGGAAGGCCTTTGGAGATTGCCTCCAAAGATGTTAATTATATAGTTAACTCCCTATTACCCACTCATTACAATTTAGATGCTGGTTTGCTGCTGGCAGGGGGCGTTCTGTGAGCAAATGGCTGTAGTAGAGCCCTCTTAATAACCTTGCCACAATGTTTTCAACCAGCAGAAGTTGCCAAGCACTTTTCATGGGCAGGCCCACATATAATGCATTGTAATAATCTTATCTGAGTGGACCCACTGCATAGATAGCGGTGGCAGGATTACTTTTTGTACTTCGTGTATAGTATTTGTTTTGTGATTATTCTAAATCAGCAGGCACTTATATCCAATGGATAATATAATTTAAAAATCTCCAGAAAAGCAAACTGCATACTATGTCGTTGTTTTAACTGTAAGAGGAGGGCTTATAAAGGAATCCCAGCTACTTACTTTTGGGCTCCAGTTCTGATGGGTCCCTTGGCACTGTGCCCTCAAGCTGGCTACATTAGAGGGTCTCTTCCTACATGGCCCTGGAAGGCTCACCTAATGCTGGTAGCACAAGAGAACAGAAGCAACTTTGGGCAGTAATAAGCATTGGGAACCACTATTTAAAATTTCCACAATGCCTCAGACATGCCACACTCTGGGTCATTGTGGAAAATTTGAATGGTCTCCCAGGTCCAGTTACCACCAGCTGTCTGAGGAAGCTATATTGACATGCCAGGCCTGTCTGTTATAAAAGGGAACTGAAACACCTGTTCCTGACATATCCATTCTTTTTTTGTAGCATGTAGTCCTGTCAGAAGAAAAGCTAGAAGCACACAATGTATCCAAGCAAAAAAGGTAAGAAAAATCTTACCTTTCCTAGAGGGGAGTTCTCTTGCCCATTGAAGCTGAACACAAATCTTGCAAAGCTGTGATGTGGAATTGACACATTTACTGGCACACCTCTCCATATAAATAAAATAAATATAACTTATAACTCAGAACTCATCTCTAACTGAGCTGAAAGGTGACCTTTACTGACAGAGTTGTGCTTACATGTGTGTGTTAGAGAGAACATCATTCCTAAGATGCAGGTACTTCTGCAATATTCCAGACGGAATTATGCATTCTCGTCCATGAGGTAACTGAACTACCACTCCAGTGAGCAGGGTTCCCACTTCTAAATTATCAAAAAAGAAGATGAGCAAGGACAGAGATTTGCATATGCTAATGTATATTGTAGATGCAAATTGAGAAATAATTAGTACAATTTAAAATGGAAAGAAAGAATGGATGTAGAAGACAGTGACCAGTGTGCCCTCATCTTCATCCCACTGTCCAGGCACTAACTGCTGATGGCCAACAGCTGTTATCATTCATTATCTTTCAGCTGGACTTGGAGAAGACTCTCCTTTAAATAGATGACACAGTCAAACAGAGGGGCAGTCCTCTGGCAGCCCTCCAAATACAGCACTGGCCTCAGTCAAAGAGGATGGTTGGCCATTCAAGGACAATCACCTGAAGTAGCTGTTATGAGGCAAGACGGCTTGGAGCCTGCGTAATTCCCCTTACATGACAAATGTGGAAAATGGGAAAAAGGGACACTTGTAGGGGATAATCAGTGGACAACAAAGAGAGTACTTCCCCTTTCCACTCACAAAAGCTCTGTATCCACTCATATTTAAACTATTTCCTTCCAGCTGGGCTTAGTTCTGCTTTTGGAGAGAATTCTTGGGCAGGAAGGCATTAAGTACCCTAAAGTCTCACCCTGTGGATCACATCCCCCCTCCCCCCTATACACACACACTGCCAAAGCTTGGCAAACTCGAATCTATAAGTAGATTAAGTACGAAATACATGACCTCAAGCACATCCAACAGCCATGTTTTCTGGTCTGCAACACCAACTGTCCCAAAATGTGATTGGGAGCAAGCTGAGTTCCACTAACATTTACTACTCCATTTTAGCACACTATTACTTAATTCAGGTCTTTAAAAAAGTTGCTGGGGAAGATAGTTTCTGACACAAAGTGTGTACGCTTCTTTGTCAATAGTGTATACCACTCCTGGGAACTTTTATCTGAGAGCCATATAAAAATAAAAACTTGACCCTTTCTCTGCTGTTAGCACTACAATTCTGCCTGAGACGAGACCAAGTCTTCCACATCGGTAATCTTGATCAATGTGTTTGTTTAATCCCAGACAAGACAAAAATAGCAAGCCCCTGGAAGACTGCCAGAGTCCTTAACAGCAAGAGCAGTTTGAGTGTGCCAGGACAGTGTTAAGTGCTGCTCTGTCATATGACTCTTTGAATTAACCTCAGATGCCTCAGTATTAACCACTTCCTGATAGCAATCATGTTTAAAGAGTATTCTTCTGTGAGCTTATACTGGGGGAATCCCTAAATAACCATTTTTCCAACCAAACACAAGCACACCCAGATCTCATTCATTGTTTGGGTTATGTTATTCACCTAACCTATATCATTTCAAAGAATCAGTACAACCTATAAATGCTTTTAATTACATAAATGCATAACTCTGGATCTCTCTGGCAATAAGTTTTCTATAATGTTAGCATTAAGGTTTTTTTAATAAGCAAAATACATACATTAAAGTGTTGTCAAATTAATTTTCTTTCGGTTTCTGGAACTGAAATTTGTTTTGATGTAAAAGTACTTTTGCATATATTCATATACAGCAATTGTATGCAATTGTTTGCAGCATATAATTGTATAATATCTAAACCCTCTTGCTTCTTCTTACTGATTTCTCCATAATTTCACTACTGTTTGAATTAGGCAGCTCTGTAAGAGAAAGGGCTCTGCTTGGAAAAGGTCCTTCTATACAGTTTAGGGGGATTCCCCCCCCCCCCATACCACACATGTTCTCCTATGGCAGAGTCTCCCCACTCTGGGTTGCAATGGGAGGGAAGAGGTGGAGAAGAACACTGCCAGCTGCATAGGTGATCCAACAAATCTGTACCTGACTGATGGTTTCAAAGATGCAGTGTTTGATTTCTTGCAGAATGTCATGAAAAGAGCCAATAAAGTTCTTTTGCACATTCTCCATTCCAAGACTCCTAGGCACAAGAAGAACAACTGGCTCCAGCAAAGGAAACAATTGGCTTCTTTAAAAACAAAACAAAACATAAAATGAACAAGAATCATATATTTAGAGAGTTGCTTGCTAATGCTGCTTCATTTAGATGCTCCGTTATGCATTTGAATAACAGCCAAGCTCACACTAGCTTTCCTCATACAATTAGAAAAGAAAAATGACTTCAAGATAATCCTGGAGATTTACCTTGCATGTTCATAATGACCTGGAGTAGTTTGAAATCTTGTTTAGATCGAAACTGTGTCACTATAGACCTGGTTTCCTGACCTACATAAGTCATCTTGACTTATTTATTACAGCATACTTTTATTAAAATCAAGAGCATTGGCATTAAACTAGGCAAACTCAGATGGAAAAATATTATAGGAACATGCTATATCTATATGAAAGGCAAGATGTTCTGTTGGGGGGTTGTATATGTTTTATTTCTATGTGGGAAAGATAGATGATGAGACACCTCTTGCTTTCAGCTTCTAATATAATAAAGGGTCATTTTGGTGGGGGTGATTGTATTAAGTAGAAACAGGTCTTATATTTTAGAAGCCACCCCATGGTGGTTTCCTGTATCTGAATCTAGGATATTCCATAAGATGAACGAATTACATGGTCATAGCTCATTAACTGACACCAAGTACTGCCCTGGCTGAAGTATTCTGGGAGTTATCGGTCTTTTTTCTATCAAAACCTGCACCTTAAAACTATCTTTCACAATAACAGAGATAGTATGGAAGATAGTTTTTTACCTTTCGAAGAAGTTATTAAACTCAAAATGCATTGTGCCAATAAGTGATTTACTGTGACTTTTTTAGGTTTCTTTTTTCTTTTTGAATATGCGTTTTTCCTTTCTTAGTTAGCATGCAAGTCAGAGGCAAAGTCTAGTGACATACATACAAGGATGCAGGGATGCAGTTGGCAAGATACAGGTTCTTTTCACCACTGGTTTTCACCTCATTTGGAGGTATTCAGATTTTTACCTGCACATGGTGAGGAGAGAGAGGTTTTTTTCTTTTTAGTCCTTTTAGATAACTGAAGAAATATAAAGAATAACTTACATTATGTGACTCATCTAACACTTTTCCTCACATTTATACCATACATTTTCCATAAATACAACAGTGTTTTTAATTCTTCTGCTTTTTGAGCAGGTGAATAGCAGTACAAATCCTATCTTAGAATTCCTATTTGAAGGGAAAAAAACAAATCTGCACACAGTACATAGTATGAGGGTCAGTGTGGCACAGTGGTTAGAGTTCTGGGCTTAGACTCTACTAGGTCATGATACTCACTTGGTGACTTGGGGCCAGGCACTAACTCTCTGGCTAAATTAACTCATGGGTTTGTTGTGAGGTTACAATGGAGAGAAGTACATAAACCTTGAGTACCTTGAAGGAAAAAGCTGGCATATAAATATAATAAATAAAGAAAATGAAATAAAATGAGACCATTTTATCTATTCCCAACAGGTAGCAGTGTCTGACTATCATCCTCAGGGGTCAGAGAAGCTGCTACCACACCAAGTCTTCTGCAAAGATGAAGATGGGAAGGGTTTCAGTCCTCTGCAAAACAAGCAGCAAGGCTTTTTCTCTAGTCCTACCAAATGTCCTACAACACACAGTAAGTCCCAGCAATGACTACCCAGGCTCACTAATGGCCTACCAAGTCTCACTAGCTGTCCAGAAGGTAGAGTTACAAATCCCTTGCAACAAATATGAGAGCTGGGGTTCACTGAGAAGATGAACAGATTCACTGCAGCATGAACAAACTGTACTTTTCTGATGGAGAAACTTTTACTTCCATTAAGCTTTTCCAGCTGAAAGGGTTAGCTACTTTAGCACCTCAAAAAGATCCCATATAATTAAGGTGAGATCTTATGCCTGAAGGATGCAGTATGAATGCTGCATGAAAGATATGTATGTAAAGACATCTGTAGAGGGCAGGGTATCAGAAGAAAGGATGGTCACTCCTCATCCTTGCAGAAAGGACAATGTCTTTTATGCTAGACATCAAACCAAGAAACACTGTCACTGCTGGCATTACTAATCTTTGAAATAGTGATCTGGCTGCACAAGTTTCTAACATGGAAGAACACAAGACGGCTACATTTCCAGTTAGTCAATTTCTACCTCCACTAGTCATTCACATTTCTTATTATACAAACACACAAACATGTCCCTGATTACAGTGCTACACAAATTACAGTTTCTTGTACTATAAGTTTTACCCAGAAAAAAAGTTGGCTTAATAATAAAGTTTCTTCTCACCATTATGCATTGCAGCAGGAATGTGTAAACAACAGTCATTCTGCTATCGCAACAACCCATCAGATGTGAAGGCTTTGGTAAGTAAGACATAATCTAATCTAAAGCCAGATACCGCTATGATATAAAATGTGGATTCTGATTATTGTTACACAGGTCATATGAGTGAGTTTCATGTAAAAAAATCATTTAACATCCTTAATCCTCTTATAAAAGTTATTTTGTACTTGCTTTGATTGAATCCTTCTTTTCATACAGATACAGAAAATAAAGGAACATCAAGGGATAAGATCACAGTGGTCAAGATAAAGAGAATATAAAAATAAACTTAAAGAAAAATTACAGGCAACAGCACAAACATTATCCCCTAATTCTTTAACAGAATTCAGAGTCCAAAGCAGCACTTAACATAATTTTGATTGCAGTGGAGGACAAGGGCAGGGGAGGGGGCACAATCGGTGTGATTCCTCCTCCTTCCAGCATCCCTGCACCTCCTGAAAAAATGCTGCAGTGGTGTAGGGCAGCCTTTTCCAACCTTGTGCCTTCCAGACACACTTGGACTGCAACACCCAGATTTCCAGGTCAATGGCCCTGCTGGATGGGAATTCTGGGTCTTCTAAATGCCTCTGAAGACCACCAGGTTGGGGAAGGCTTGTCTAGGAGATTCTTTGGAGCAGCAGACAAGCCAGTGCATTGGGTTGGAGAGGGAACTGACTGGCTTCCAGCCACCTTCCTCCAATATGAAACTGCTACTACTGTGAGTGGAAGAAGTCCCTCTGTAATTGCAATGGCCAATCTAGATCCAACTTGATGAGTCCACAAATCTACTGTATCTAAGGATATGAAAGAATAACAGTATTTAAAATGACTCTATCAACACAGATGTGTCAAATGTTAGCATCCCACCACACTCTAGTAAAGCCATCCAGAGACATGTAGTGATTGGACGGGTTAGAAATATCCCAAATAAATAAATAAATAAATAAGGGATGTCCTTTTTTCAATCTAAGGGTCCAATTCAATTTCAAAGAAACTCTCAAGAGGATGTAATGGTGGGCAGGTCTAACGGCAAAATAGGCAGGAACAAAAACACCATCTCATATTGGCTTAAAGCTCTTGGGACACAATCCTTAGGCACAGTCCTGTGACCCCTCAACTGGGACTCTAAAAGCTGAGTCCTTACAGAACCACTCCAGAAAGAACAGCACCAGCTACCTTCCTGAGCTTGCAGCTTGGAATTGTAGAGGACAAAAGGGGGCTTTCTGAGAGAACAGCAGTAGTGGAGACTGGGGCTGACAGCTCATGCCCAAACCTACTGGCACCCCAGCCTCCTTCCCTCCAGTTCCCTGGTACTTAATCTAGATATTGGGAAATGGCAGTCTAGAAAATACATAGTGCATACTGCCACCACCAGTTTCAGTGTTTAAATCTTTCGGAAGTTAGGAAATCTGAAATTATTAGTGGCCAGGAGAAAGGGAGCTGGTCAGTCAGTCTGGGAAACCTTGGAGGTCTACATTTAGCCCATGCATGTGAAGTGCAATAACCCTGCATTAGTTGCATGTTTCATCATCATTATCAACTCTGCATTCCTTCTAAAATAATTCAAGGCAGCTAAAAAGTATCTGTTAAAATAAATATTTTATACATTAACTAATAGGCTAAACCTCTGATATATGACCATTTATAAGATGTCAAAATTCTTTTCTCTGCACTGTTATTAGAAAACATAGTAGCCAAGTTTGTTTTGCATTTGGAAAAAAAGTTACTAATCTTTTTACTTACCACATGATTTAGCAGCCTCAGGCATCCCATCACAATGCAAAATGGACTTCAGCCACAGAACCAACAATAAAGAATGGTGTGTTTGCAGATGGGTATGTTTTGTTTCCTTACTCAAACCTCTAATCCCAGTACACACACTCAAGTGTTGAATGTTGTCATTGAACCATGCACTGTTCTTGAAACATGAGTGATCATGTTGTCTTGAACCCAGCTAAGATAACAAAACGTGGTGAACAACCCACAGTTCACAACCCAGCATCAAACCATGGCTTTTCTCCATGGCCTGTTAGCACAGCTGGATTTGACAGCACAGTAATCTGCATTTCAAGAACTCCCCAGTCTATAGTAAGATCCAAGCTATGTAAGTCTTTGAAGCTTAGGAGACACTGAAGAATTTAACTGGAATTGGTTCTTACATGAATTAAGGCTTAGAACATACTGCATTGCAGTGGAGTGCTCCTGCTCAGGGTTCTAGCCAGCCATGCCTTTTCCTCACTCCCCCGTAACAGTCAGTTATTCTGGGTTCCACCCTCCCAGATCTTTTTCTGAAGTTCTGCTGTATTTCTCTAAACCTTGGCGTTTTCCTGAGATTACTGATAACTCCATTTTGTATGGGATAATGTTATTTTGGCCTAAGGCACACTCAGATAATGTTTTGCTATTAATATACAGAAGGTCTAGGGAACTGGTGGTGCACAGCTGCCCCCTCCCTTCCCTTGCATGCAGCAGTTAGGGTTTTTTTAAGCTTCCACAGGTGCCAAGGAAAGCTTTCTAATTGCAATTTAGAGAGGGTGGAATTCAGCAGGCTTAATCCTCCATATGGACACTTGGAAAAGACTGGCTGCAACCTAATTACTGGCTGGGTGGGGGACTGCCTTGTGTGCATGTGTACGCATGCACGTATGTATACACACATGCACAGGAGTGTACCTGAGGGAAAAAACAGTTGTGCCTGTGTGCTATGTGTGAGGATGGATATGTTTGCTTGTTGCCATGCATGTGGGTGGCTCTGCCCACCTTTTGCTTTGGCCTCAGCAGCTGCAGGCACATTGCTTCCCAGAAAGATAGTCCTCATGATGAAAAAGATTCTCCACCAATAGTATAAAAATGTTTAGTATATAGAATTGTAACAATTTTCACTAAAAATGATCCTTCCATAAAAAACAAAGTATAGAACATCTATGTTTAGGCATTTCTCCAAATCATTAGATAAAAATAGAAACAGAGCGAGTCAGAAGAGGTCTCCCAGGTCATTCCCTGGGTGAATGTCCAATAATTGTTAAGAAAAAACTCAAGTTTGAAATGCTGAATCTGTCCTGCTTTCCTCTATAGGCATGGAAAGCTCTCATGGAAACATACAGAAGATGACATAAGCCCAACTCAAGGAACAGAGGCTTCTTTACCCTTGACAGGAAGCACTTTGTATGGCACACCCAGCCTTCTGCGAAAAATATGGATGAAGCATAAAAAGAAGTCAGAATATCTAGGGGCTGCAAACAGTGCCTTTGAGGCAGACTGACAAGCCTCAGCCTTGCTTTTGCAGAAGAGACGTTCCTTTGACAAAGGACAGGATATTATGTTTATGTGATGACAGATGCAGCACAGTTCACACTTAGCCAAGGAAATAAGGTTTGGTGAACCTACAGAGACTGTATACTATGCAAACAACTCCATTCATGTATTTTGCACTTGTTTCCTGTACTCAGTGAACTTGTTAACAGATACAGTTGTGATCATACATCCTCCTAGCGTTTCTTGTTCTGTCCAGACTGGTTTGGATTCAATAGGAGAGAGCTTACTCTAATTCCAATAGGCCTCATTTCAACTACAGTGTGCCATTTCACATTGAGTCCTGCAATTTATCATGCAATTCTACTGCTACAAATGATTTCTCTAAATCTTAACTACCTGCATTGAAGAACAGTGAGTCCATGGTTGGTTACCTGGAAAGCTATGCATGTTTAGAGGTCTCTACCTTAGATCCAGTTATGATTATATAATAGCTTTAAACAGTATCGAGATGGAACAGTGCACACAATTATGCATTCTATAGAACTATTGCAGTATTTTAATTGCTTTTTGAAATTGTTTAATTTATAACTGATATATTTGATGACAGATTTGCAATAACGGAAAAAGTGATCATTTAATATATATTCCCTAACAATATGAAAATACTTTCTTACATTTAGAAGCACTTGTTTTATTGTCCCAAATAAAGGACATGCTCTTTTATGTACATAGTTCCATGTGGATATTTGCCCTTCAGGGGGGAAAAACAGAGGGAGGAGGAACATCATTTCTCTGTATTAATTTACAGGAAATAAATATGTATTTCATTTTACATTTTATCCCAATGTTCAGATTAGTATAATGACACTGGTAAAGATAAGTGCAGTAATCCAATGTTAATACTAAGATTTTCTTTTTCTTCAAAGTTCCTTTATACAAATACACGTCCCCAGTTCAGATGTAAACAGTGTGGCACCTGTGTGCCCATTGAGGCCTTAACTCTCCTATACTTATATTAAAAATGACAGTGTTTCTTACAGGAAGCTGTGAATGCTTCAAATCAAAGTGAGGGTTTCTCACAGGAATGACTCTGAGCCCTTGTGGGGCTCAGACCTGCCCTTAGGAAATGAAGGCAACAGGTCTTCAGTATCTCTATTTCTTTATTCTGCAGTATGCCCAGTAGCTGCAGTTGTTCAGGATAGTTTCTCAATTTGCCACTGTTGGGAAAATTTGGATAAATCCTTCAGAAAAACATTGCTTCTGTGTTCTTTTTAATTGTGGAATCAATCCTGTACTCCTTCTCAAACCAAGCTAAGTCACTGTTTAAAATGGCATTCCTCCCCTGCTCCTTTCTCTCACCTTTAACTGTAAGCTATAGTAGACAGGCCATTTAGTCCAAATATACATTGTATACCTTCAAAATTATTAAATAATCCTCATTGGAATTCACAGTTTACCAGGAAGTATCTTTTGCTAGCCCAGAGGGTTTCATGTGCCCTGACCATTCAGAATGGTGTGGATGCTTTACTTAGGGTCTGAGTCTGGATGAGCTTATGAGTTCATGAATAGTTTCTCAGTAGCTTGAATTTACATGTCTAAGCAGACCTGAAGATGGGTTCAAGTTACTCAACTAAAGTGTCAATACACTGCAATTAGAAATATTGTAATCTCATTGTCACTATATGATTGACTGATATTCCTTTATCTGTTCTGTGTATGATGACCTCAGAATTTTGTTGTAATCCCTGCATTCTGTCGTTAATTGCTCTGTACCTGTGTACATGACCGGGAGGGTATAAAATACCCTGTAGTTGTATTGAAACATTGCAGCGAGTTTACCTCTGCTTGCACAGTAATGCATTATCGTGAGTCTACTGCGGGAACCTGGGCCAAACAATAAAGCCACAGATGGTCTGGACGCTTGATTTTTCCCACGAACCCGAGTTTTATTTCCTCCTCACAAATTGAAATTCTGGGATTTTCTGACACCACATGTGCCTAAATGCCCCCCAGTTTTGTCAACCCTTGCCCAAAATGTTCTGAGTAAGAGTTAACCCTCATGTGTATTTTAAACTGGAGGAGGAAATGCTAAATCATGGAAGGCACTGAATTTGTTATTGAACCTGCAATCCTATGTACATTTTCCTGGGCAAGAATCCAGTTGAACATAATAGACCTTATTCTGAATAAACATGCATAGGATTGAACCGCACAGGAAATCTCTAAGCTGAAGAGGAGTCACGGAGTTGGATGTGCAGCCAATGAGGCCAAGCTATTTCCTGCTAAGTTTCAAATACATCTTTCTCTTCTCTCCCTGCATCCTCCATTTTAAAAGAAGTCTGTAAAGTGCATGCATGGAGTGATTTCCAGTATGTGATTTGGATTTAGAAGCTTTTGGACCTCCCACATAGGTGAAGGCAAATGCTCTCCCCCAACTTTCCTTGCTGGGAAAATCAAATACAGACCTGATCCACACATAACAATAACCCATATTATAGGTTGTTGAATTATGAATTGCCATTCCTTGAGAACTCAGAACTATGAGTCAATTATGGGTTGTTAATTATGAACAAGCGGCTTCTTCTTCTTCAGGCTACATGGCAATATTAGGGGTACTACAGGGCCACAAAGGCATTTGTGATAAAAGGAAGGATTAAGTACTAAGCAACCCACAAATTGATTGTATAACCAATGATCTGCTTAATTGTTAAATTATGGGCTAACACTGGAGAACACAAATATTCATAGGTTAATCAAACCATGGTTTGTCATATGAATAGCGGCAAGTGGAAGTAAGAGGGTGGAGGATAGAAAATGGCACTGAGGTGCTGGAGGACAGAACGCTCTGACCTCTTGTCCCTAGAGGTCATAAGCTAGCCTGCCATCCAGTGCAGCAAAGATGCTTTCCCATGACCAATGTTAAAGTAAGATTCAACAAATCCAGGCTGCTTTTCTGCATGGAATCAGTGTGAAGGATTGCAAGAGCAAATCTAAGATTGTGAATCGTGTGCATCTTGAGGTTATACAATGAGGGACTCTTCTCATTGTTAATTTGATCATAAGAATCAAATGATTTGAGGTTTTTGGTGGTGAGGAGGTCAGAGAAAATAAACAACACAGTTAATGACTGCATGCAGTTCAGGTATCATATACAGTTGGCAATAGTATAACTGTCCTTCTTACATATGCAACATTATGAACAGGGAAGTGTTCATACTTAAAAACTTTTATTTTTTTAAATAAATTTTATTATGGTATAAGCGTCCTGGACTACGGACCACAACATGACAGGAATATAATGGGTATCTTCAGTGAATATATGCAGTGAGAGAAATCTCCATGGCAGCTGCCACACAAGTTAGTAATATGACATAGGGGTGCACAAGAATATTGTTTTGGTTTGAAAATCAAGTAAACATGTCCTGTTTGTGGTCCTGAATACAAACACAAAGGTGAACACATTTCTTCAAGAAATGTTTGAAGATTGCTGAATTTGTGAGCCTGCTCTAAATATGCGTATTTTTAAAAAGTGTACTTTGACATTTTTAAAACATTTTCAAGCATTAGTGAATAGGGAAAAGTGTACAGTTTTAAAAAAATATGCACCAAGACACATTTTTCTCCTGGCTGAGGGGGAAAAACAACCTAGAAAGTGAGAACAAGCTGGAGTGAACATCAAATGAACTTTTAGAGAATTTTGACAAGCTCAAAAATGGCTGGTTCCCCCATCCTTAATATGAATTATCCACTACTGCAATTATCTTTGCCCTTTTCTGCCTACCTCACCCCATAATTTAAGCTTCTGTTCCCTGCATTACAGGTTTATGTAGCTCACACCTAGCCTACCATTCTATTTTCTATTGAGATAATCTTAAATAGTTTTTTTTCACCCTCATTATTTTTAGACACAGGCAAGAAGGCAAAAAGCATGCATTCTGCAAACTGTTAAAGAAGTGCACCAAATCTGGCAAAAGATCAACAGAATTAAACACAATTCCTACAGAATAAAGCTTAATTTCATTTGAGGGCATTTAATGTAAAATCTACATTTCACCTACTTTGCAGCTGTCATATTGTTTAGGGAAGTAAATAGGTGGCATGTTCTTACAGTTAATGGAGATGGCTTTTCATTAAGTATAACAGATTCTTTTATAGGTCCAAAGGACAATTAAACATTTGAGAGATTGAAGAACTCACCTGCTCTTAAGAATACTGAAATTTGACAAATAACCTGTTTATAAAAAATTAAGAAGAACCATGATGGATTAAATCAGGGGTCTACCTAGCCCAATATTCTGTTCATAGTGACCTAGTGTACAGCTAGTACACAGAGGAATAGTGCCTTCACTATTGACTTGATTTGATCTATGGCCCATTTATTCATCTTTTGATTAGCTCAGGGCATTTGCAAAGTTCTCTTCTAGCTCTGGTTTGGACACATCAATTTTCTTTCTCTCAGCTGGCATCACTGTCCAGAATTCACACCCATCCTTAATGATAGGGAATACAATAATGCTTTGTAATCCACTTAGAGAGCCCTTCTGCTAATAATGTGAAATTATGTTGAAGGAAGGAAGGAAAGATGAAAGATGATTTTGGCCTTCATCTCCAGTGAAATCTCCTTACATTTGATTATCTTTTTTAGTTTCTTCATTGTCTGTCCCCTCACCCCCACCCATACCCCACAATGTTTTCTTTTAATTTCTTGGTTGCAGTCTCCATTTGAATTGATGATTAGGCCAAGGTATGCAAAATCTTTTACAAGTGCAATTTCTTCATTGTTGACAGTCAAGTTGTGAGTTTTTGTTTTTGGATGCATTTTTCATTTTCTTCTTGCACATTCATCAGGAGTATTTCAATTCATTGCTGCTTCTTGCAATGCCAATACTCATAGTGCTCAGCAGAGTAAACCAAATGAGCTGTACCTGCTCTTAAGAAATACAATCTACAAGTTAATGTTAGAGGATACAACAACAGGGGGTAAGGATAGAGATAAGGGTTACAAAGAAAGCTTACAAAGCTTGTTGTAATGCTCCACTGTGTGCAAAGACAGTGTTCTATTACAATAT